GCCGCCGCCGCATCCCTTCACCGCCCACGCCGCTGCTCGCCTGCGCTGCCGCCTGCTAGCGCCGCTGCCTGCGTCGCCCTCTGCCGCATCCGCCGCTCGCCGCCCCCCCTCGCCGCTCGCCTGCGCCGCCGCCCGCTCCTCGCCGGAGCCGCTTCGCGCCGCTACTGCCGCGCTAGAGCTCGCCGTCGCCTCGCCTCGCCTCGCCGGAAACCGCCGCCGTCGCCGTTGCCGTTGACCCGCTGTGGACCGGTAAAAAAACCGCCCGGTCCGATCCGGTTTTATTTTAAGTTCGGTTTATTTTTTATTAAAATACCCTAGACTAGATCTGTTTTTTTAGGTTTTATTAAACAGCGAACGTCCACTGTTTAGACCTTATAAGCGAGTGTTCGCCTTTTAGTTTTTTTTCTTTTTCTGTTATTTTCGGCCAGGGACCCGTTTGTGAATAACATATTTGCAGAATAGCCCATAATCTTCAAAACACCGTAACTTTTTGCTCGTTAGTCCAAATCCAACGAAACCAACACCCACGTCTTCATTATGATCCCCTCTATCCAGTAATCCAACTCAAACATGTTTTTGAAAAGTTTAAAATTTGAATTAGATCAGATTTGAATTCAAACTCCGTTTGATCATAACTTGAGTTTCGTAGCTCCGTTTGAGTTGATTCTTTTTGCAAATCGAAGCTCTTGACCTAAACATTCTAATAAGGACAAATTCACATAATTTTGGTACTATTAGAAATTGTTTTATGCTGCAAGAGTTATTTGTTTGGTTTTGATGTTTTCCGAATCGACTTCTTCGATCTTTCTGATCTTTTGAGTGATTGCTTATGTGTGGTTACTATTGCTTGATTACGATAGATTGACCGGAGTGTGACGAGTAGAGCTATCAAGATTTTTGAGTGCGAATCATTTTCATCAACATTGCAGGAAAGTTCACACTTTGATCATATTCCTTTATCACCCAGTTTTTATGCATTAGTTTCAACCTCAAACATTGCATGAGTAGGATTGGTAACATGTGGGTATTGGGAAGTAGTTGATGAGGTAGGAACCTATTACCTGTTTATTTTCAAACCCTTGGGAGTTACTATTACGTTATGCTTACATTGTTGTGCTATGCTCGTAGACGTGGATTGAGTTTTGAGAGTATTCATGACAGATGTGAGATTGTTAATTAATAGTTTATTTAAGGTGGCAACTTAAACACACATCTGGGTGGATTGAGGTACCTGGTTATTCCAGGATTGCCTGTCTAGGCACCTGGGTAGACCAGGATTGCCTTTTTTATGGACCGCCACCCAGGCTCAAAGGAATCATGAGACTATTCACACTAGAAACTTCCGTGTGCAGCCACAAGCTATTATGGGCTCTAGCATAGTTGACTAAGTTGTGCGAACTCTTACAGTGGTAGACTAGCAGATGTAGGGGATGTAGGTGGTACGGTCTACCCGATCATAAGGTGCTAGCGCTTCTGAAAGACTATGTCTCGGTCATCCGTCTTCTCAAACAACATGTAGTGCGAGAAACCAAATGGAGGCGGTCGAGTCTTGTGGGGAAAAGTGCGCAAACCTCTGCAGAGTGTATAAACTAATCATGATTAGTCATGTCCCCGGTTATGGACATCTTGAGTATCTAGTACTTGGATTATCATGTGAATCTCATCATGTGACTTTAAATAATTTTGTTGGGTATAATGATGTTACTTAATTGGGATTGAGAATGCTGTCAACCATTCTCAATGTTCAACAACCACCATGATAGTTAAATAAAATTTAATCCTTTGCAGTAGGGAAAAATTGGCTTTACGCAAAACTATAACCATAGAACTTTTCCACCAGCCAAATATGCATGTAGTGATAGCCATTATTCATCATTCTCCTATGGTGTGAATTTGCCTGCAACGTCTCATGTTGCAGGATATCTTACGACGAGTAAGTGATACGTTAGGGTTACGATTTATACACTCAACTTTGCCGTTGGTGTTGATGGGAATCCACAATCTTTTTACTTCCGCTATTTTGGATTGAGGTAATAGTATTTATGTTACTTTTACATGTGATTTACCTCTATTATAAATCCTCGAGTACTGTGTGTGTCAGCATACCGATCCAGGGATGACACTTAAGCACAGAGACTTGATCCATTCGGGTCGGGTCGCTACAACATGACACACATGTATCGTTGCTATTAAGGGTAAAAAGATGGGGTCTATTCCTACATGAATAGATCTTGTCTACATCATGTCATCATTCTTATTGCATTACTCTGTTTCTCCATGAACTTAATACACTAGATGCATGTTGGATAGTGGTCGATGTGTGGAGTAATACTAGTAGATGCAGGCAGAAGTCGGTCTACTAATTTTGGACATGATGCCTATATACATGATCATTGCCTTGGATATCGTCATAATTATTTGCTCTTCTATCAATTGCCCAACAATAATTTGTTTATCCACCGTATTCTATTTGTAGGATCAAAAGTATGTCTAGAGGGGGGTGATTAGACTACTTGACCAAATAAAAATCTAGCCTTTTCCCAATTTTAAGTCTTGGCAGATTTTAGCGACTTAGCACAAGTCAAGCAATCAATCTGCACATGCAAGTCTAAGAGTATAGCAGCGGAATGTAAAACATTTGCATATGAAGGTAAAGGGAGGAGTTTGGAGGGAGCAAACGCAATGTAGACACAAAGATTTTTGGCGTGGTTCCGATAGGTGGTCTATCGTACATCCATGTTGATGGAGACTTCAACCCATGAAGGGTAACGGTTGCGCGAGTCCACGAAGGGTCCACGAAGAAGCAACCTTGTCTATCCCACCATGGCCATCACCCACGAAGGACTTGCCTCACTAGGGTGATCTTCACGAAGTAGGCGATCTCCTTGCCTGTACAAACTCCTTGGTTCAACTCCACAATCTTGTCAGAGGCTCCCAAGTGACACCTAACCAATCTAGGAGACACCACTCTCCAAAAGTTAATAGATGGTGTGTTGATGATGAACTCCTTGCTCTTGTGCTTCAAATGATAGTATCCCCACACTCAACTCTCTCTCACGGATTTGGATTTGGTGGAAAGATGATTTGAGTGGAAAGCAACTTGGGGAAGGCCAGAGATCAAGATTCATATGGTTAGAATGGAATATCTTGGTCTCAACACATGAGTAGGTGGTTCTCTCTCAGAAAATGAATGCTGAAAGTGTAGGCACGTTCTGATAGCTCTCCTTCATAATGAAGGAAGGGTGGAGGGGTATATATAACCTTCACACAAAATCTAACCGTTACACACAATTTACCAAACTCGGTGGGGCCGAATCAGAAAACTCAGTCAGACCGATTCAGTTCAAAATGTGAATGTTAGGCTTTTCGGTGGGACCGACATGTCAACTCGGTGGGACCGATTCCATTAGGGTTAGGGCATAACGTAATCTCGGTGAGACCGATTACACAAACTCGGTAGGACCAACTTTGGTAATAAGCTAACCAGAGAGTTGGTCAGGCAAACTAGGTGGGACCGAATCGCTCATTTCGGTGAGACCGAAACGTTACGAAAGGGAAACAGAGAGTTTGCATTGCGAACGCGGTGGGACCGATCGCTCATCTCGGTTGGACCGAAACGTTACGGAGGGAAATAGAGAGTTTGCAATCTCATCTCGGTGAGACCGAGATCCCTATCAGTGAGACCGAAATGACTAGGGTTTCTGGCAGTGGCTATGTCAAGTGAACTCGGTGGCGCCGGATAGAACATTTCGGTGGGGCCAAGTTTGACTTTTGATTTGAGACATATGTGGATATGAGAAAGTGGTTGAGGGTTTTGGAGCATATCACTGAGTATTTTGAGCAAGTAAGTCATTAAGCAACACATCATCCCCTTTTAATAGTATTAGCTTTTCCTATGGACTCGATGTGATCTTGGATCACTAAAATGAAAATGTAGAGTCTTGAGATTATGTAGAGTCTTGAGATTGAGCCAATGTGTGTTCTTAGCATTTTGAGGGGTCCACATTCCTAATCCATGCCATGCGAATCATTGAACTTTCTAAAATGATCATCTTGAAATAGTATTAGTTCAATGAGCTATATGTTGTTAGTAATTACCAAAACCACCTAGGGATAGTTGCACTTTCACTATTTTCTCGAGAGAAGCCACTAGTGAAATCTACGGCCCCGGGTCCATTTTCTATCATACTGTTTTCAGATCTATTATTCCGAAAACCCAAAAATACCTTGCTGCACTTTTTGTGTGTGTTTTCGCTAGATCTATTTATCCAATCTCATATAATTTAATCTATCTCAATGCCGATGAGGGATTGACAACCCCTCTTACATGTTGGGTTACAAGTATTTGTTCTTTGTGTGCAGGTATCGTTTACATAGTGTTGCTTGGTTCTCCTACTGGATTGATAACCTTGCTTTCATAACTGAGGAGAAATACTTACCGTTGTTGTGTTGCATCCTCCTCTCCTCTTCGGGGAAATACCCACGTAGATACAAGCAATCACCATAATCTTTCAGTCCTGTCTGAAATGTGACTCCGATCGGCGCCACGAGAGGCCCAACGATGGGCGCCAACTGTCGTGGTATTTGCATGGCAGATGCCATGGGATGGACTAATCCCGCATTAGGACACCGTCAGCGCTCATGGTCCCTAACCACACGAGATAAGTCATCCCATGCCATCTGCCGTGCAAATACCACGATAGTGCTGATTGTACTCCTCGCCCGTGACGACGTACACCAGGGCCTACACCACCGTGCGGATTGCTATTGCGGCGGCTGGTCCTCCTCGTCGCTGGAGGAGATGACGATCTAATCCCGCATTAGGACACCGTCAGCGCTCATGGTCCCTAACCACGCGAGATAAGCCATCCCTTGCCATCTGCCGTGCAAATACCACGATAGTGCTGCTCGTACTCCTCGTCCGTGACGACGTACACCAGGACCTACACCGCCATGCGGATTGCTATTGTGGCGGCTGGTCCTCCTCGTCGCTGGAGGAGATGACGATCTCCGCCTTCGTCGAGGAGTCGCCCACCGATGAGGACGACGGCCCCGGAGTTCGAAGGCGGCGTTGCCACGATCCTCCGGTGTTGATCCCGGAACCACCGCTTGCCGACGCCGAGGCCCATGACTTGCCCATCACCGGAGTTGTGGAGGAAGAGGGGCTAGGAAGGGAGTAGAAGGAGGAGGAAGAGCAGAGAGATTGCAATGTGGACGGTGCCGGAGCACGACTTAAATATCCGCGACTAGGCCATGCGAAGGGCCGATCAGCCACTTTAATGTGGCGAGTTGGTTCCTCGGCAAGTTGCGTCCGTATTGAAGCTGCGGCTCCTGAGAAGTCACGTAGTACTATGTTACCATATACTCCAAACACCTTTCTCCTCATTAACTAGCTGCCACATAAGTAATCTTGTCTTGGGATGTGTTATGTTCCTAGCTAAGTTACTCCCACTATGACTAGCCTCACATACAGTCGCACGCCCAACACCGGCTGCAACGCATAGGAGATATTATTTGTGTAATTCTTGAATTAGTAAACTAATAGCTAGTTTATAAACTGTTATTTGATTTCATTTAAAAATACAAATTTGAGCTTATGTGGATAATGAGATTGGGAGATAATTGCTATCTTGTTACACAGACGAAACTTTTGATTCAAATTTGATATTTTTCAAACTTGCACCTGTCCTTTTTCCTAAAGAAACACCGATGGTTCTTCTCTTTTGCTCTCTTTCCTCGTTTGTTCCTCGGTTTGCTCCGGTACTGGTCAAACGTCTATGGCATTACCTCACCTTCATGAATCTCTCCCATCGTCACTTTGGTTCTTCCCGGGACAAAAGACCTCCACCACGTCAGTCAACCTAACTTTTGTAGAAATATTGTTCAACACGGCTCTTGCTTGGAGACATGACGAGAACCTCAAAATAGTATTCCTCCAAAAGTTGGTTGATTAGGTAGCGGTCTCAGTCTTCTTCAAGTGTCACTAGCTAGTGGAGCACTTGTCCAACCAGGAGTGGCTGCTGTCTGCCGCCTCTTTCTCCTCTACTAATTCTTACACCGCTTTCACAGTCAATGGTCTCATGCCAGTCCCCTGTTCAGACAATCATATGCACACTACTACTCCTACTTCTCAAACACGAAAAAACAAAGAATTACTCGTCTCTCCATTGGTACCATCTTCTAGGAAATTACATGAGCGACGCGGCCAAACGCACCTCGTCGCGGGCCACGCTACCCCCACGCTATATAAGCCCTAGCCATCGCCCAAACGTGACACACACCCAGACAATCAACGGCCCCCCACGCACGCACACATCAAGCGCAGCTGATCCCCCAGTTGATCGATCCGTCAGCTAGCTAGCCATGGCCATGGCCGGGAGGAAGGTGACGACGAGCAGCGCCAGCGTCGCCGCAGCGCTGGTGGCGCTGCTGGTCGTGGCGGCGGCGTCGGGCGCGGCCGGGATTCATGTGTGCAACGTGGACACGGGGAGCATGCTGAACAACTGCAGGTCCTACTGCTCGGTGGGCAGCAACGAGGCCAGCCCCAGCGGCGCGTGCTGCGGCGCGGTGCGCGGCGCCAACTTCAAGTGCCTCTGCAAGTACAAGGGCTTCCTGCCCAAGGACATCGACGCCAACCGCGCCATGCAGATCCCCGCCAAGTGCGGCTACGGGCCGGCCTCCTGCTAGTCACCCACTACCAACAGCTTGCTACCAACTTTCACTCGTTCGTAGGAGTGTACGTACGTAGGTTGATCTGATGTGCGTGCATGCTTTGTGTTGGCCATGCATGCTACTACCTTTGTATCCTCTTCCGCTTTTCCTAAGTCATGTTGCTGTGTGTCCACAACTATGTGGCAGAAATAAAACTTATTTCCCGCGTCTTTCTCTATATGTTAGATTTTTTTGGTCATCTATTAATAATGCCAATAAGTTCTATGAAACTTTAAAAAATATTCCAAAAAACCATTTCTAAACATTTGGGTCAACACTACAAACGATCATAGGTCAGAGGTGCCTGCAAGAGTCTTCGCAAAATGTAAACAAAATTTAGAAAGTTATATATAGCGATATCACTAGTTAAGGAATGCCCCTTGTGAAGAGTGAAATCCACAAAACCATCACAATTGTGACATCAATAACAAAAAACCACCACTTTACGTTTTATTAGCAAGATGCACCAAATGCAATGTTATCTTTGACAAAAGAACACTAAATGCCCCTTGACCCAGGTATTGATGTGGCAAATGACAGACGTTGCAAAGAGCAGGCATGGGGTGATGATCGTTAACTAGCAAGGCGTTAAGATGACCAACCGACTGTCTACTACAACAAGTTTTGCCCAACTCCGGTGATGAATGGGCGATGACGGCGGCGCGCCTTCGGCTCGCTTCAATGCTTGTAGTCGTCGCTAGGTGGTCTATGAATCTGGATGCAATTTTTATTATTTCTGGTGTTCGTTATACTGTCATGATTGAAGACGAATAGATCGGATGTTTTTCGTAAAAAAAAGATGACCAAAGAGCCCACTCATCAATATGTTCCCATGCTCACCGTCACCGAGTATGAACTGGGGTGGAGAGCCAAACCACCCGGCTGCAGATGAGATGTAGTGGTGAGAGAGGTGGAGATGTGAAGTATCGTTTAACTAGTGATTTCGCCGCCGCAAGAGGTGCCCACTTGTCGCAACCTAAGAGTTTTCTTTTTTCGTAGACTCGTTTATTCAAAATATTTTATCTCTTAAACCGTGTGTCAAATTTCAAACCATTTTTATCTTTGAATTCCTCACGTCAAGATCTTCGAAACTAGAACCCATGTTGATAGATTTCCATGAACTTTTTTCACAAAAAAACCAGATGAAGAAAACCGAGTAGAAAGCACTTTTTTGACTTTCTTTTTCCTTTTTCGAAGAGGCACAACTGTGGCTCTTGCAAAGCAATTTTGTGTCTCTAGGTTGTTTTTTTCTGGCTCACTGGTGCAGAACAACAGCTACCATTTTCTTATAGTTAAAAACATGATTTAAAAAATGATCATCAATTTTTAAAAATCATGATTTTAAAAAAATGTGGGTTTGAAACAAATTCCACAAATTTGAAAAAAAAAACTTTGCAAAATTTAAAAACGATCAATAAATGTTCATGAATTTGAAAAAAAACTCACAAATCTAAAAAATCATGAAGTTTGGAAGTTTTCACAAAAAATAGAACTTTATTCATCAATTGGAAAAGGTAAGAAAGTAAAGAAAATGGCAATAAAACACAAAAAATGGAGAAAATCAGAATGGAAGCATACCAAAACCGTGACTGTGTGAGAAGCTTTCATAGGCTGGCCCATCTAAAACCTATAGCCGGGGCAATGGGCGCCTTCGACCAAATAGAAATTTCCCTTGTCCATCTTCCTTCTCATCGGCTCTCAGTTGCTGGCCAGTTGCTTAATTTAGCCCAAGTCACTGCAATTGGCCTTTCTTCAAATCCCTCCACATATTATCTACAAGCTAAAAAAATGGCACACCTTCTAAGAGTGAAATCTTGCAATTTGAGATGATTGGGACTTCAAAATAATGAAAACTTTAGGAAACTAGGAACTAGCAAAAGTTCTTCAAGTTGTGTATGTGCGTTGGGGTGCAGATCTTTGTTGTAACAACACTGCAGTTACAGTCAAAGTTGTGTGGAGCCGACCCCACGTGTCATCTGCAGCACTGCACTGATAACTGCAGAGGATCCCAACCCGCGCATCTGATGCTGTATCAATCAAGAAGATCACAAACCTTTGCAGCCCCATGATAAAGCTTGCCACTGGTTCAGATCCAATAGTATAATTTCTGCCCCATGTCAGAGTGATTATACCTAGATCGACTCAGAAATAACTACAGTTGAATAATAGAAAAGTCGTATCAATGTATAGGACATACTATTAGCAAATTGTGTTTGTGCCTATTTGTGGGGCAGTTGAGTTGTAGGTGCCTAAAAAGTGTAACACTCTACCGAGTACACATGGGTTTGAATTCTGGTATCCCGACACCTTGGTGGATGGATGTACCTTGTGATGGCAAAATATGGATTTTGTGAATGTCGTCTAGTCGGGAGTGCAGTACGCCATATCCTTGTGATCCGTGGGGCTGAAAACAACAAGTCCCCCTCAGCACGACAGGGTGGAATGCAGACCCCCCCTGCAAATATGCTTAGCCAGTGTAAATTAGTCCAGTAAGTTCTTGGAAGCAAAGAACAATTTACACGCTGGATTCTTAGTGGCCAAAATGTCCTTACTTGGACAAACAGTACCCACTTGGCTATTTTTCAGACTGGACCAAAATCTTGACCCAGTTGGCGTCTCGTGACCGCCAGCATTGGCCTCTCCCGGTGGTGGTAGCCGCTCTGGTACTGAAAGCAACCACCGCTGAGCACTGCCCATGTCCACGGCCAGTCAGTGCATCTTCCTCAAGGAAGAAGCACACAAGCAATATGACCAGCGCGCCGCAGATCCCGAGCTTCCGAGAATTGCTCTCTGCGGCTGCAAGAGGCCGCCAGACTGCGCGTGGTACGGCTCTGGATGCTTGTCCCAGAATCCAGTGGCAAGCCCACGCCGCCGTGCTGAAGGAGAGCGAGAGAAGAAAACAAGAGCTAGGCTGGGAGAAACGCAGAAATCCAAGCACCTCCGCCACGCTGCTCTCTCCGAAATGCAGAATCCAAGCATCTTCACCCGAGCTGCTTTTCCAGTTCCCACACCCTCCTCTCGGTCCTCTGGCATACAGACATACACCTCTGCATGTTCAGAGATGATACGCCATAAATCTGTGCTTCCCCTTGGCTTTCACCGTCATCACTACCCCAGGCATCCTAGGTAGTTAGTTCCTTGAAGCATGTCCTTTAACTGAACATAAGTTTCCTCTTCTCCCTCAGGGTTTTCCTTGAAGCATGTTCTTTCGCTGATTATTAGGTTTACTACTATTCCCACATAGATTTTGCGCACTGTGTCCGCCGTTTCGATGTTGCATATGATTGGCGCAAATAATTGGCCCATCTTCCCTTCCCTCCATGGCCTGCCTCTGTAGAACAGAAGGAACAAAAAGAGGTGAGCAGAACGACTAATGAAGCACATTATTTGACTACTTAAGTTCAAAACTGGGATAAATAAAGAAAATAAGATGCGTGCAGAGAAGGCACATGTGTGGCAAGAAGGGACAAAGGTGATGCGGTGCAAAAACAATGCAAGGACGGTCCCCCGTTGCTAAGTTTCAGAGGCCTCTGTTATCCCGTGTGTGCGTGCATATGAGGGAGAGCGGAGCCACCTGTTGGTGGTCACCTCAGTCCCCACCCCGCCCCGCCCCTCTCTACACCATTGTCTGCATGGTATGGCACAAGGATACGCACACATAATTACATATGCTAGGCAACAGCGGAGCCACAAGGCAACGCACGCATACGCACAAGAGCTCTTGCACCCGTCTGCCATCTATATAGCCTCTAGCACTTGCGACCTTAAGCAGTTTCTGTAATTACAAGCACACCTCCATTCCATCCTCCCGTTCCCTATCCATCTCTCCATTTTGGAGAAGGCGGGTTATGGCCGGTGGTAGCCCCACAACTACCTCGAGCTCCCTGCTCCTCTTCTTCCTCCTCTCTTGCTTGCTCATCGGCCAGGCTCTCTGCAACCAAGGCCACCATGGTAGCATCTCAGGTTTCACTTCTTCACTGCAAATACTTTGTGTTCTTCGTTTGTTCTTGCATTAGAATGGCTTGTTTTCTTTTTCTTTCTTTAGTGTGCATATGTTCACCATGTATTCACTAGTTTCACTTCAATCTACTGTACGGGTGCAGACTATGGAGAACAATATGCTCACCAGGGATTACCTGAAGAACATATGGACTTGCAAGAGAACATCAAGGTACATATGCCATCTAGTTAGTACTAAGCGCCGTTCTTATAGGTACTATAGCACATGATAAATTATGCTTGAATAAAGATTCTGTAAACTTCAACTTGCTTGAAATACTATATACCTGCCCATGGAGTTTTTGGTAAGCGGACTGATAGGAAGAGGATACAGTAGCCAACTTGCCTCCTTACTCCTACAGTTAGTACGAGAAGTTCTTAGAACAAGAGCAAAAAGAGCATGGGTGCAGCCGTGCAGGATATGCAAGTTAATTTGGAAAATGGGGCCCATGACATAGCCATCTGAAAGCAACAATAACTAACATGATGTTCACATGCTTCACAGCAGGGTCTAAACAAGGAGAAGCCGCCCAAGTATGCAAGGAGAATGCTGATTGGTTCAATTGCTCCCATATGCACGTACAACGAATGCAGGGGTTGTCGATCCAAGTGTACCGCTGAGCAAGTCCCGGTGGATGCAAATGACCCCATGAATAGTGCCTATCATTACAAGTGTGTCTGCCACAGGTGATCATTGATGGTTAGTAGGAGCTTCTATGATATGATATGTCTAGTAGAGAGTAGTGGTTTTCCTTCAGTCTCCTCTTCTTTTCCTTCTATTCTCTTTCTCTGTTAAAAAGGCTTCTTCTTTTTTCCTTTTTCTTTTTTACTAGAGGTTAACTAGTAGCAGACTGGAGGGGCATTTTGTACTGTAAGATGTCTAGTTCAGCTTGTGAACTAGTAATTTTGAGAGTGAATGGTCTGAAATTTTGATATCGGAAGACCAGCTTGGCTGTGCAGATAACCAGTTTCTTTGTTAATACTCCCTCCGTCCCAAAATAAGTGTCGCTGGTTTAGTACAAAGTTAGCACAGCTTTGTACTAAATCAGCGACACTTATTTTGAGACGGAGGGAGTATATTGCAACTAGAAATCAAATCTATAAGCAGACCTCGATGTGGTCTTCTGCTTGAATAGGCTTAGAACTTCAGACTGGATCTTCTACACGGTCTCCAACTGTGCAGTGTATAAATGCTGTAAACGTTCGTATGTTCCACCAGAAGTTGACAGTATCTTCTCTACCCTGGGCATCTTCAGCTCTCGTGGGTTTTGTGCCATCCCTCTTTCCATGTAACAAAACAACCACCTGTACTGTACAAGGGAGCAGTAGATTCATATTGACAAATGAGAAAAGAAAGAAGATGATGACTTCTGTGCAGACTGCATTTCTTCAGCAGAGCAGGCTTCATGTGTTGAATTTAACCAACCAGGTCTAGTTTCATGTATGTACCACATTTTACGCAAAAGCTGTAGCATAGGTAATAAACAACCCAGTACCAAACAGAGCATTTATTTTGCAAGCAGAGAGGCTGCAGGGTGCCTTGTATGCATTCAACAAAAGAACAGTTGAAGATTTGTCTCAATAGTGAATATTTATTACCAATAGCTCTTTTACTGGAGAGGGGTCAGGATGCCTCTATACTACGGGACACTCCGGGGTAACTCATGTATATTTAAATAACACTGACAGGTGCTAGTTCAGGCACTACTGTCCGTTGACAAGTATTGCTCTCTTTAAACATTCTTTTCTGCTCAAATAGATTACTACGGTTCTACACAAATCACTAACAGGTTTGTACCTGGTTGTTTCCTCTTAATAAATTGCCACACGGTCTAGTCCCTGTTGGTCTCGTTTTTATGTCTTTACTTTAGTATAAGTCCATTTGACCAGTAGACTAGAGCTCACAAAAATCTATAGTGTTTCACCCAATAGAAAGAGGTTAAGACATGAATTTTAGAAAGTTAACATACAGCAGAACTATTGGAAGTCTTCAGAATTGACAGGTATTGTGCTTAAAGCCTTAATTCTGCCTGTTTGAAAAACAATTCCTTATGCACCAAAGGAATTCAGTGAGAATAATGCCTAATGACAGAGGCGGCTAATGTAAATGCTGGCCCACACATTACATCGGCAATTACGTTTGAACTTAATAATTTCCAAACCAAGAAAAAGCAGCATGTAGGAAAGTGCTCAAAGCAAGTAATCGCACTTTGCTGACCATGGACCGATTACACGTGAAGAACTGAGGGTAGCAGCTTTACCATTTGCTCCTACTGTAGCTTCAAATGGCTTCAGGACCAGCATGTAGATCTCCTAAAAAGACAATGAGAAAAAAGAAGATCAATCCAGTTGTATCCTGAGAGTGACATTACAGAAGAGGGTTTGTATGGTGAGAGGAATAAAAAGCTGCCGCGCAGTGGCCCTAGTGCTACTCTCTAGCGCTAGAAGCAGGTCAGCATTTTTCTTAAGAAAACAAGAAGAGGTCTCCTATGAAGTGGTCCTGCAAAAATATTCACATGGAAGTAAGCAGTAGGATCCATCTCGAGCTGTTTTGTTTTGTATAACACGAGATGCATGCTTTCGACCCAACATAGATGACACATGGGTTGCAGCTCCTTCGAATCAAGGCCTGAAGGCTGCAGCTCTTTCCTGTCTCTATAGTACTCATCATAGTTACAGGTATTATATATTTATATTCTAATTTATGCTAAAGCATGCTTCTAGATCGGCAGCATTCAAAAAAAAAATGGCCAGCCAATTTTGACATCACTAAGGTTATGAAATTTGCCTATGGCCATCCAAGAGAATCTCTGGTCAGGAAACTGGATATTCAGAACAGCTTTGTAATGTGGAAAACAATGAATTCGACATGAAGCCAAAGAATTCATAAAGAGAACACGGTTGTTCTTTGCACTTCTATGCTTAGATGGTCATTCCTACTATATTTCACACGATTAATTTCCATCTATTTTCATTCAAACATAAAATAATAATGTAGAGAGTAGACAGAAATAGCTGGCGACATTGACAATTGGACTTGCTGCATACTATCTCGATGACGCCAGCCTTCAACCTGAGTTTCACTTTTCTTCATTCTGAGGATGTTAAAGACCAACTCAACAGAGGTTCAAAGTCTTTTTATTAAGATCAAACTTGTGGTCAAGCCTGAAATCGTTATTAAAACTCCATGATCATCAACTGGTAGCCCCGAACTGTTTCTTACCCATTAAAACTGGCTGAAAGAAGGGGTAAAAACATCAAGCTCAAATAGAGCTTGTCCATTCAACAAATATGTTTTATATAGTGAACTATGAAGGTTGAAATTAATTACCTCCGTGCAAGTAAGTCAAGGAAAGCAAAATGGACCACCACCCCATGGATCTCAAGATCTCTGCGTTTCGGAACCTTTTAGTCAGTCTGCAACTAAGTCCAGTAAAATGAATACAAAGAAAGGCATGGACCAGTGTGCAAGTAACTAAGCACCCATTTGGCTGCTATATCATCAATAGAACTTGGGAGGTAGCTCTTCCAATAGCGTAATTAACTACCAGGTGCAATTTTCGATCATGTTAATATCTCCAAAGTCCTCTGGGAAATAAGCCACAGCTCCAACCAAACACTTTGTTTTCCTGAAACCAATGAAGTGTGGAAATGTTCAGAAGGACTAACATGGATTTGGACACTAAAAAGGGCAATAGTGGCAATTATGTTTTGTTTTATCTGGAAACTCACATTTGCAGATATTTGTCATGACAAGCAGCTTCAGAAAGAAGCCCTGGGACAATGAGTTTTCAAGAGCTTCATCCAGCATGTAGCATTTCATGCCGAGAATGTTCAATCAACTAACAGGCATCACACCAAGGGATTCAACACAATTTCGGTGCAACAGAGCAATCAAGCAGATGCTACCATGTTAGATAAATTCCACAGCATCATGTAAATTTCATCCTTATCAGGATGTGAACTGCCGCCATTCACAAACTCGTGTATTTGCCCATCTGCCTCAATCACACTCCTTCCAATGTCCTTCTTCATCCCTTCAGCACTCATCAGTCTCCTAATCCTCGAGACACCATCCCACATTCCTTCATCCGCATAGATATTGGACAGAAGAACATAGACTCCAGAGTCGTCAGCTCCAAGACTTGCTAGGCGTTCAACCGACAGCTCAGCCAATTCGACGCACCTATGACTTCGGCAGGCAGCAAGCAGAGATCCCCATAATTCTGGAGTTGGTTCCATGGGCATTGTCTCTATGGCATGCCTAGCCTGATCCAAATGTCCAGCACGGCCAAGGAGATCAACCAATGCACCATAATGTTCAACCTTGGGATCTATCCCAAAATCCTTCTTCATTCTATGAAATATCTGTAAACCCTCTGAGATCAACCCAGCATGTGTGCATGCAGTCAGCACGGCAAGCACACTAAGATCATCCATTGGTGCTCCTTCAGACTCCATTTGGCAGAAAAGCTTGACAGCATCAAGTCCGCAGCTATGAGTTCCAAGTCCAACAATCATCACATTCCAAGTAACCACGGTCTTGTCAGGCGTGCTTTCAAAGATCAACATGGCGAGATCCAAGCGCCCACATTTCATGTACATATCTATCAGAGCTGTCTTCACCACAATATCGAATAAAATCTTCTTCTTCTCCAAGTAAGAGTGCAGCCACCTGCCTTGCTCCAGAGCTCCCAGCTGTGCGCAGGCTGTGACAGCCCCAACTGCAGCAACCCTATCAGGTCTGATACCGCACCTCAGCATCCTTCGAAAAAGTTCCAAAGCCTCTGAAGGCTCCCCACACCTGACATACCCGTCAACAACAATACTCCACGAGATCACATTCCTCTCAGGCATCTCATCGAATAGCATCCTCGCCTCATCCATCCTCCCCTGCCTAGCATAGCCATCGATCATCGAGTTCCAGCACACCAGATCCCTCTCAGGCATTTGATCAAACAACTCACGCGCACGGTCCACACCTCCAGACCGCTTCCCGTAGGCATCAATCATGGCGGCCCAGGAGAAGGCGTCCCGATGCGGCATTTCGTCGAACAGCTCCTGCGCCAGCTCCACCTCGCCGCATCCGACGTACCCCGCCACCATGGAGTTCCACGAAACGAGGTCCCGCGCGCCGTCGTCGAACACCCTCCGCCCGGAGCGGCAGTCCCCGGTCCTGCAGTAGAAGCTGACGAGCGCGTTCCGCGTGAACAGGTCGCGATCCAGACCCCTCCTCACGGCCTCGGCGTGCACCAGAAGCCCGACCCTGCAGCCGGGCGCGCAGCCGCACGCCTTGAGCACGGCGGGGAAGGTGTAGGCGTCGGGGTCCACCGCGCCACGGCGCATGCGCGCGAAGTAGGCGAGGGCCCTGCGGGGGCTCGCGGGGGCGTGGAGGCGGATGAGGGTGTTCCAGGGGAAGGCGTGGCCGGAGGCGGCCCCCGGGAGGCGGGCGAAGACGGCGTCGGCGTGGGCCGCCGCGGAGGCCGACGCGAGCGCGAGGAGGAGGAGGTTGGAGAGGCGGAGCGGGGAGGCGGCGAGGTGGCCGGAGGTGAGGAGCAGGGCGTGGCACTGCAGCGCGTGCGGGGCGGAGCCGCAGGCGCGGAGGCGGGAGAGGAGGATCGAGAGCGCGAGCGGGGGCGGCCGAGAACAAGACATGGCGGTCGAGTTTGAAATTCTGAAACGACCGACTGTTCCTGAGATCGAGTCGGAAACCAATCCATGCCACACTAGAGTTCGTTTTTTTTTTCTTCTCGTTGTTTGTCACCTCTTCGTCTTGCCCTTGTCTTGTCTTGTCATCTTTGAGGCAGCGGCCAAGACGGCGTACGGGTCGTCGTTTCGGGGTCGAAGTCGGGCGAATGGGGTTGGGCGGCACTGGCTTTGACGGTGGGCGTCACTTGCTCAGCCATTATCCATTCAGACGTCCCGATGTCGTATCGCAATATCTTTACATTCTTGCGGCAGAGGTCAACGGACGATACAGGAGGCAAGACAACATGGACTGTTGGTTCACGTCGGAGTCAAAGGCCAAGCGAACAACCAGAACAGAAGGTTGGATCTGGCCTTGGTCGATGTTGCTTGCATGACGTGACAAGCTGCTCACGCCTTGAACTCCAGAAGCCGTCACGGGTTAGGAGGACGTGGCACTAGCACCCAACATCGTTCAGGAGTGCGGGTTGGCGGCGACAACAAGGAGCTGCAAGAGCCTCGCTAGGCCACCAGGGAGGACACAAACATCAACAAAAACATGGGCCCTATTTGGATACTCTAACACAGTTAGAGTTAAAGTTATTTTCTAACCCACTCTAACCCAAATAAGCATCTCTCCACTGGGATAGTTGGATTAGATGAAACTAACCCACTCTAACCCTTCCTGTTTGGATACTTTTGGATTATTTAAGCCTTCAACTAATCCAAACTAACTCTAACCTCATGATCCAAACAGGGCCATGGTTGCACTCACCCTCCAGGCCACGGAGCTTGAAGATATGTCCTTGTCCATCCGCAACCAAAGGGGGGGGGGGTGAGCTTCTCGTTGGACGGCACGGATCTCGAATCTGCCATGACCAGTCAATGGGATTGGGCCCAAATCTGGATCCGTTCACTACAAGAAATATGTTAATTAGTGACATTTTGTCAGTGACCCTGGAAGAATTAGTTATAGATCTACGATCATTTGAGATCAATTGGTCAAAAGCCGTTCGTGGGGCTCCAAACCCTCAACTATATCGACCATTTTGATCAGAAAGGTCGTAATTTTCTTACACGAAATGGTCATAAAGCAGACGGCACTGGTCTGCTGCCTTATTTCTAGCTGATCACGACCAATATAGATGGTCCTAACCTTGTAAATTGTGGTGAATTGCTATGACTAGGCGCCACCTCATCAGTTTTGCCTATGTGTCAATTTTTGCCCTAGGTTGTGAAGCAACCTATATTTCTGTCATTCCCAAAATTCCCTAAAAAATCTCATAAATTTTGCACTTTTTATATGTGTGTTGAGAGAAAAAAATCCATCCATTTTTATCGACACCTCCTAATCGAGATATTGTTTCTTTTGGCAACAAATAGCCCTGCATTTATCAGGATAGGTGGTTTCGATATTTCCTTCAAACATTTCAGTAATGGGCTCAAAAAGCACGCACATTTGAACAATGAGGTGATGTCACTTTACATCAAAAGTTTCAACATTGAGCAGACGTACAACTCAACCAAGCCAAGGAAGTTTGCGTTCTCACCACATGTTGCTGTGAGTTAACTAACATGTTTTTTGTTTGCTTTTTTTGTCACTTGAGTTTTCCACCTGCAACATAGTAGATTTTTACATGATAGTTACTAGCTTTTCACCTTTTTGTTGTGACCATTTTTTGTTTTTCATACAGACCAAGCTTTGTGTTGATCCAAGTTCATTCAAGACAAGTTCCTGCATTAGAGATTTCACCAGGGTCTGCAAGAAAAATGACATCGTGAAATTTGATCAAGTAAAGCTCTCGTTCAACTATCGTATGTAGTGCAAAGTTTTCCTTGTAGCGCAACAATGTTTCCGTTTTATTTATCTCATTTTTTAATTTTTGCAGTTGTTCTTCACCATAGTCCAGAGAGACCATTGGGCAGTTGTTGTTGTAAATTTCATGAAAAAACAGTTTAATGTCTTTGACTCCAGGAGCTTAGACCCTGACTATGCCAGCATCCTTGAGAAGCCTTGTTGCAATCTGGTATGGTGTCGAACACATCTTCTTTATACGATTTTCCCTTTTTTGTTTTTTCAAATCAATGTTGCGGTAATAATCAATTCGACATTTCCAGATAACAAACTTCAAAGAACTGGTCACATATTTTAACCCATGGAAGCAAGATTTTGGCACATTTCAGATGTCCAGTCCACCAAGCTACCCGCAGCAGTCAACATCGTACTATTTTTTCTATATTATTCATTTGTGGCTTTTCGCAACTTTACATCCTGTTTAGGAAGCATTTTCATCTTTTTGTTGTGATCTCATGTTTCCTCTCCCTCCTTTTTCCATGACAGATTTGATTGTGGCATCTTTGCTATTCTATACTTGGAGAATTTAACTGCCAGGGGGATGAAGCCATTCAATACAGTACGACTCGGACTCATTTATTTTTATTTTCTTCTTTTGCAACCTATGAAACACTAGTAGTAAATAAATTATAGCAGTCAACTACTATCATATATTTCTGAAATTTTATGTTATTACCCACCTTTTTTTTCATCCCCTGCTAGTAGTGTCTCACAATGTGTTTTTTCTCTTGTTGTCTATGCTCAATGTCCGGAAGTACATTGCGGCGAAGCTTTTCAAGCACCCTCAAAACACCCTCAACTCAGAGGACGAGCTTCAAGCTTTGCTGAAAAACTCATAGATTAATGCCAACCGCAACAAGACATCTCTAGTAGTTTAGACCTTTTTTTGTAGTGCATGTGTGTGCGACATGTTTGTAACCGAGCTCTTTAGTAGTATACGAAACTAAAGTGTTTCGGAAGTAGAATGTGTCATGCTGGGGCATGCCCCTTTTCTCCCTCATTTATGTATGCTGGAAACATGGTGTTTCACTACTGATCTTGTGTTTTTGCACACATATATATAATGTAGACATGATTCCAATGGCAGTTGTTACTTTTTTCCTGAAATTGTGTTCTTTTTTCTGCACACTGGTGTTGTATTCGAGCCATTTGTTGCATTTAGAAATCTTTTACTAGAAAAATGTCGAAATTTGCTATAATGATTGTCATCTCCGTAACATTTTTTGTTACTTCCACTAGAAAAATGATGAACTGAAGGCATTTTCTCATCACAACATCATGTCCCTGTAACATAAATACATCTTATAACATCACCAAAATGAAAAGTGCTCATGTTTATGTAACATGAATACATCATGTAACATAACCAAAACGAAAAAGTGCCCTTCCTGTGAAGATCATGTTTTCATGTAACAGGAATACATCATATTTTTTTTCCAACCTGTGAGACCACACAATCTTTTTTTCCTGCAATATGGATTAATATGGGATGTATATGCATAGAAACAGTGAGGTTGTATGTCTGAAACCTAGGCAACTACATGGAGCAAACATAACACAGGTTGCAAATTGAAATTATAGCTTGTACATCATCATTTTTGCAAAAAAGAAGTTACTAATGTAGCTCAAACACAGGGAGCAAGCACATCTTGCTTAGGAGATGAAACAAAACACCCAAAGCTGGTTGATGGGGGATCTTCTCCCAAATGAAAAACATTTTTTTCTTAGGAGGATCTTCCTCCCTGTTTCTCTCATCTTTTCTTTCTAGAGCTTCAGCTGCGTTGCTTGGGAAATGTTTCGGTCACTTGCCATCATGGCTCTCATGTATTGACAAGCTGGGACTGCATGTCCAACCTCAGAGCAGAACTGGCATTTAGGGGGTGCTGCCGCCGCCTCCGTTGCAGCTTTTAGCGCCCCACATGTCTGAATATTATGTCCTTCTTCATGGCAGTACTTGCAGCGGGCAATCCTTTTTCCAGCTCTTGGCTTTACTGTTGCCGTCGGCTTCTTCTTTTGTTGCTTCGCCTTCTTTTTTTGCTCATCGTCTCGCTGCTCTACCAGTGTTTTCTTTCTCTTCTCTCTTTCAGTTGGCCGACCTTTCTTAGGGACACGAGCTGGGTTTTGTAGCATCTCTGAGCTTTGAGTCTGTGGTAGGTTGTCATTCAATGTTCTCATTGCGGCAGCGGGTGGTGTTGGGGGTTCACTCTGTTGCGTTGCTTGTTGCCCTGACAGCGCTCCTCTCTTTGCCGCTGCTATGGCAGGCTCAAGAACTGCTATTGCTTCATCTAATATCTTGTAGGCATCATCGTTGCAACATGCATTAGAGGCGAGCCATGTCAACCTTCGACACAAGGAGTTGTATTTCAATGTGTTCGTTGAGGGGTGCACGAAGTCCAGCAATCGGCCAGTCCTGCCCATGCTTGTTGTGGCTGCTTCAGACCACCTCTCCAACAAGTATTGTTGCGGAATTTCTTGAACATTCAGATGCACCATTGCCCTTATTATATGTGCGCAAATCAGGCCATTCATCTCAAAGTAGTGGCAACTACATTCAAACAACCCTTCATCCATCATAACATGCACATAATAGAGTTTTGGGTTCTCATAGGAGCTTGCCTTTAGCTCAAACAGCAGGCCTTGCCCTCGATACTCAGCGTCTTGGTTGATAACGAAGCCGGTAAACGCGATCACCTGCTTCTGGAACTTGCCAAAGACGCTACGGGTGTAGTAAGCAGCAGCTTGGCGCTCAATGTTGTACCTGCAACATCACAAGAAATAGGTCACAAACCACATCACACAGAAACTTGGCCCAACAACAATTTTTTTCTTTTTTTTGGTAAAGCGCAAAAGTGTGTGTACCGAGAGTATAGTGGCGGAGCTGTTGTTTCACCAGTGAATCCAGCATTGTCTTCACGGTCAAGCATAGTTTCTTGGCACATTTCGTATTGCTGGACAAACCTCCAAACGGAATCAGCCGGACGAATCAGTGTCTTGAAATATGAGTTAAGCCCCTCAGACCTGCCCGTTGTGCTTGTGAACGGGAAGAATTTGTTCTTGAAGTACGCTGGAGCCCACATGTGCCTTGTTCGCCACATGTTCTTTAGGTGTTTGTTCT